TTATGTGACAACACTGTTGAACCAAAAGTAAAAGGAATTGCACTTCTTACAACTAATCATTATCAAAAAAATGTATTATTAGTGTTTTATCCTGGTTTACCACAAGTCTCCACTACCAGCACCACTCAGCCACAGCATTAAACTTCTTCTGCTGAACTATTTCATACTGTGATAGTAAGATTATATCATCTGCATATAGATGTATACTATACCATCTGTATACCGTCTGACACTGGCACACTGTAAGGACAGAAACAGAGGTCGGGACACCTGCTGCAGCACGCGAGCACGCCATCTGTGGTCATTTTGACTTGACCAGCGGACCGCACTACAAGCTGACTGGCTGTTGAAACAGATGATGTGCTTTATGCTCTAAAACCAGCTGCTGGCGATTTAACCAGCTGAGTAGCAGGTGACACCATCAGCCGGCTTGAGTCGAGCTCAGACCAGTCAGTTCACGCTGCTGCAACTTTTCTCTGTAACGTTCCAAAATGGTTTTGTTTCATCGCAAATCGTTGGTCTGAACTGGGTGTTACAGATACGCGAACACAATGTTGAAGACATCAAGAATCTGGGATAGTTTAAAATGTACAAAGATGACCCCTAAAACATTGAGTGCCACATATGCAGAGGAAACTGATGTATTACCGGTGTAAACCAAAGAAATAATGATCATCCCCCCGTCACCTCAGCACCCCATCATCATTGACAATCAAACAGTTGAAACAGTGGACAGTTTTAAATACCTGGGCGTAACTCTGGACAATAAACTCAATTTTGATCAACACACCAGAGACATACAAAAAAGGAGCCAACAAAGACTGTCAGCTATCTGAAAACTCAAGGGACTCTATGTCGCCCCCCATCCGCTGCTACTTCTGTACCAAAGCATCATTCAACCAATCCCTCTGTACTGTTCCACATGTTTCTTCACCATGCTTTCTGTCACCAGTCGGGCCAAACTGACACGCATCACACACACCGCTTCTAAAATCATTGGTCTTCCCACACCCAACCTCACAGAGTTAAATAACAGGTCCATTACACGCTTTGCAAAATCAGTAGAACGAGACACCACACAGCCACTCAACCAATACCTCATCCCATTACCCTCAGGGCGCAGGTACCGAAAGCTTAAATTTAGGAAAGCTCGACTCGGGAAGAGCCTGATCCCAGCAGCCATAGCTGCGCTGAAAGTGTCCACCTCTGTAAATGAACATGTGATGTTTTGTGATGTCTGTGATGTCTGTGCCTGTGATATTTGTGATCGATCTCTGTAAATGTACAGTTAGTGGAAACGAATTTCCCTCTGGGACGAATAAAATAAGTCTAAATATTACAAATCTATGACGAGCCTGGCAAATCACCTGGAAACTGTAAGTAACATATTAACCGCCACTTCTCAATGAAGCTTCTGTCCCCTAAAAGTGGTTTTCAGGACATCCCTAATTTATACTGACAAGCAAATAATCTACTTTAACACCCAGTTTACAAGGTTTAATTTTATCCATCCATTCCCCATACAAACTTATTCTATTCAGGGTCATGGGGGGCTGGAGCCTATCCCAGCTGACTTTGGGCGAGAGGTGGGCTACACCCTGGACAGGTCACCAGACTATCACAGTGCTCAAGATTTAATTTGGCGAATTAAGTCATTAACATAAATAGAAAGTAGTGTATGTGAAAGCCCACCTTTCTATATTTGTCTCATTATCTGAGCAACAGGTGGTCAATGTAAAATTCTCCATCAACTCCCAAAGTACTCTCCCATAATGACACATACAGCCACTGTGGCCACTGTATTTCTTCTTTTGAAAGTTCCACAGTCTCACTTTGAGACTAGTAGTATTCGTCTGATACATTTGGGATCTCTAAAATAGAGTGAGCGTGTATAAAACAGTTCTTACACTGTTCATCTAATGTGTGTTAACTAGTGATGGGCGCTGGATGAAACATGGACGAACATTCAGTTCAGCTTGCTAACTGGTGAACAGAGAACTGTCGTTTGTGAAGTATAAGACAGTGAGCTGAGAGCTGGATCAAGATACTGTTTGCAGACTGAAATCACTCACTCGGTGAGTCCCTGCACGTTCGCTCACATCTGACTGAGCGCTCAACTGAACTGAGAAATGAATGGATCGTTTCAGGAAGTGATTCAGTTCCTTTCAGTCAACCAAAACATTTTTTCTTTTGAGTGAATCATCATCACTAGCGTAAACAGGCTCAACTCGAAGACAATAACAGCACTTCAACCTCATAGTCTTTGTTAATCTCATATCCACAATGTGTTCTTTAACTGTAAGACGCAGGAACCAAAAGCGCTCCTGCAGCTGTTGCTTTTCATCCAGGAAGCCGAGTATGACCTAAAATAACCTTCAGTCTTGACATCCATCATGACACTTCACCGTAGGTAGTTTAAATTGGTTCTCTTTTTTTATCTAATTGGCTGTTTGAAACATTTATGGGCACCATGACGCTCATCGACACAGCATTACCGCCCATGTTGTTAATCTGTTAATCTCTCTTTATTTCGTACTGCTGCTGCCATGAAGTGTTTTACTGCAGAAAAGAGCATCTGCTGCTGACGTTAGCCGAGACCTCAGAGCACAATGCTTTCTAAAACTCTGGAAAATCAAACGAGAAAAAGACGTTTTACTGTGTGTTTGAGGAGATTTCTATGGTTAAAACATTCACTAGAGTGCTTTGAACACTGTGTCAAGGAGACATTACTTCATTGATCTTTATGGTAATGTTATAAAGTTCTCTCCAGCTCCAAAAGCAAGACGTCCACTGAGAAAATGACTTTACCCCTGAAATCCTTTGACTGGATACAGACTTTCCTCAAATCAGACAGCAAGGAAACGATCAAACACTTCACTTTCAACAGCAACTTAATCTAGTTTGGACTGAGCTTTTATTGCAGTATTACAAGTTGGGATGTTAACTGATAGGCACTGAACCAAGAAGTAAGGAAAGGAAGTAAAAGCATGAACCCTGCTTGTTCTCATGTGAAAACAGTCAAAGGAAACGACACATGGTAGACAGACGGACAAGTTCTGTCTCTGCTGCTGTTTCTCAGTTTCTCCCACCACTGTAAAAAAAATAATAAATCTGCCACGAATGAAAGCAAAAACTGTCAAAGCTAAGCCCAAACAGCCAGCAAAGCTCCATAATTTAACGACCAAAATTGATCTTAAAAACACCCATTCATTCCCGAATCCTTATGTGTTTACACAAAAGCTCAGAGGAACGCTATGACAAATGACATGATTAATGTTTCTGTTTCAACGGGGCGCAAAACATATAAATTAGGCATAAAGTGTTTGAATGGGCAATAAAAGTACATTAACTGTGGACAGAGAATTTTTACTCAATCTGTCATTTGCCTGATTAGTGGCAACGATGTGGAGTAAGAATGCTGTAAAGCCTGAACAAGCTCTGAGACACCGAGGATTCAAACTGAGCAACTGAGCTGAGCTGAGCTGTTTCTACTGATTAATATTTTTTCAGTTGTGTTGTCTGTGATCATTAAAACATTGCTTTATCAAAAACTTGTGCCATTCAAATTCAAAGTTTCAAATTCATTCAAAGTTTCAAATGAATGCATTACTATTATCACATCAGATCACATTTAAAGTATAAATAACTTAGGTCCCAACAACAAACCTTGTGGAACACCACAGGTTACTCTTCTAAGATGTAATGCAGTGTTATTCATTTTTACAAACTGAAATCTATTACTCACATAACTTCTTAAAAAGTGCAGTTTCTCTAACTGCTACCTGAGGCTGGCTCCAATAGCGAGTCAATCCCCATAGCCCCTGATATTAAAATGCAAAAATAAACATGTTTACAGCCTGGTACAAAAAAACAGTTTTGGTCTCTATAGCTAATCTCAACATTCATGAAAACTGTACAGGGGCTGCATTTTTACATAATCAAACATTACTAAAGCTTAAAATTACGCATAATTAAGGGCATGGCCACTCTGAGTGACACCTCCGTTCTGTCACTACCACGGCGACAATGTTGGTTTGGTAACGTAAACGTGACATGGCGGCAAATTCCAAGAGTCTAGGTGTAGCCGAAGCTGTCGCTAGTTCAGTGTGTTTTCAGTTCATGAAATTGTTGACATTTTTGCCACCTAAAAAAAGTCTTGTCTAATATTTGGTTTAAATAAAAGACCCACCTATAAGTCAGATGTTCAGTTTTTCTTTCCCCTCCATTTTGATTTGGTGGTTTTAAGCCTGTTTTCCTCGACCAATAATTTGATTTGCATTAGCATAATCACAGTTGTAAACACACTGTGTTAACCAAGCTAGATGCTGGAGTTAGGGTTATCTTGACCCCTCGTCCAAATATGGTCACTTCTTGCTCCAACAGCAACGGCCAAAATGCTTAAGTTGAAGCTTCAGGTGGGTCCACAAACCAAGGACCAAACCAAAGGACAAAAGTGCTCGCAAACATGGATGTAAAAACTGTTCTAAAGAGCATTTCTTTAATGAGGGAGGAATGTGTCTGACAATGTGTTGAATGCATTCAACACATTGTCAGACCTCAAAGATTCACATGATGCGTTTTGGTAACAAAGTATTTGATTTCTTTGTTTACAAGAAAACTCCATGGAGCACCTTTAGGTAACTGTAGTCTGTGACCTCAACTGAAGGAGTAAATCAACAGCTTTCCTTTGAAGCTCTCTCTTAACCATCACAGTCAGACATAACTTCCACATTACTGTATCAAGCCCTCTGAAACAAAAGCCAACCTCAAAATCCTCCTGCGCTTACTGTATAAACAAGACTGGTGGTGTCTGAACCATCACAACAGCAGGTTTATATAGTTTCAATGTGAGTCAAGAGCTTAAATTAACTCTCACAGTAAAAGTACGAATTGACATTAGTAATGTGGAGTCCTGCATGTCTGAGGGTAGATTTGTTTTGTTGCCATGTTTATGGGAACGTATTTAGAGCAGTATGTTTTTCCCTTGATGTGTTTCCTACCTGAGTGGGAGAGCTGCAGCCGTGGCCCGGTTTGCCTCCAGGCTGTGGCCCCTGGAGCAGCGCTGGAGTCTGCAGGCTGCAGCCACAGCAGAGGGAGAAGACACAGCATCAGGATCTGAAGAGACTTCACCCCTCCGGCTCTGAGTCCTCCTGCTGCCTGCAGGACTGCAGCAGCGATCGCTGTCATCTCTGACTGATCTTCACTGATGTGGAGAGAAAGATGGAAGGAGGTTGGACCAGCTGGTCACATCACACTCAGCGCTGCAGCCGGCTGGAGGGGGAATAAAAAAGAGGGAGAAGGAAAGAACTGGTTAGATGTTACATTAAATGTGTTTTATCACACATTGAATTAACTCTGGATTAACTCATCACAGCAGCATGGCTCTATGGATGGAGTATCAGTCTGTGGGCTGGTCAGTCAGCTACGTCAGTCCAGATTTAAATATCTCAACAACTATTGGATGCATTGCCATGAAGTTCTGTGGTCATGGTCCCCACATGATTTACCCAAAATGAATTTCCTCTAATGCCACAATAAGGTTGAAATTTTTGACTCAAAGCGAAATAGCTGATATTCCTTGAGCTTGAACTATTAGTTAAAACTAGTAGAAGTAGAACTGTTGGCCAAGTGGGTAGTTTGACCAGCCACATGGCACTAAATCAAAAATTACAGAAGTAAATCATCCTGTAGAGATATTTGACATACTGTATTGGGACAAACTAAATATTCTGGCGTGCTATATAGTATGTTAGTGTGGGCATTGGAAGGCACAGAGTGTTTTTACGGTGCTCTTGTCACAGATGGGCTTCTAACTACCGTGTCCGATGTGAAAATGCAAATGTCCCTATGTGGAGCCAATGTTTGGTTTGTCCGTTCTGGGCTACTGTAGAAACATGGTGGCGCAACACAGTGATCTCCATCAATGAGGACTCGCTTCCTATGTAGATTACACACTAAAGAAAACATACTTATTATATTATGTCCCTTTTCTGCCAATATATCCCTCTAAATCCTTCACAGTGGACCTTTAAAGATAAGTTATTACTAGAACTTAAGATGTTTACATTTTTATTGGAAAAGACAAGACTCCAACCAAAGAGGCGTACCAACCTCTTCATCTGAAAAAAACAAACACTGACTGGAGGTCTTTTTAGCACAATATGCAGGGGACCTATTACTACATTTCTAAAAGCAAGCACACACAGAGGGACAGAGTAAATGAGATGAACAGAGCCCAGAGCTCCAGTTAGACCATAAACAATGTGACAGATTCTCAAAGAGCGCGCTGTAAGACGACCTCAGCATTTGCTTTCTGTTCACAGAGAGAGTGAAAACCAAGAACATTACTGTCAGATTAAGTTTGGTTTTGTGGTAATCACACTGAACAAAACACACAAGAGCTTTTAATTTTCCAAAACAAGGCGATGAATCCGATACTCATATAATTTAATTCAAACTCCAGCTGGGACTAGTGTATGTTTTAGGAGATCAACAATCTAAATATCAAGTCTAATCGAATCACTGCACATTTACAAAAACAAACCAATGAACATAGTTTAGCTTTTTTGACTTATTCCCTTATTCCCTCTGCACTTTAGAGGTGTCGTCAGCGAGCTCATGGACACCTGAATAAATCACAGCAGACAGGAACTATATGTGCAGTTAGGACTGGGTGTGTTAATGTGGGAACAGTTCATGAAGGAAACAGGTCAATTTATCACTTTGTACTGTTTACTATTGTGGTAGCTGGCCAGTGGAAGGAGTTCAGTTTGAGAAAAGCAAGGAGAGAGTATCTGCTGAGAGAGGAAAGACAGTTCGCTTATTAGCCAGCTTGAATGCTGAACTCACTGTAGCTACTCTAAAGCAGAAAGAAGACACAGCATGACCATGGATAGATAATGAGACAAAGGCCACAGGCATGTGGAAGGCTCCCACCCCTACTGAAGAAGTTCAGTTGAAAAGTTGTTGTTCTGAAGTTGTCATTTGTCATTTTGCTTCTTATTGTCGTGGGTTTGAATCCCTTTGTAGTAGTTTTGTGTCTTTTTAAAATAATTTTGCATCTCTTTGTGGGTGTTATCAGTCTCTTTGTAGTAGTTTTGTGTCTCTTTGTTGTGGTTTTCCACCTCTTTGAGGTATTTTTGCATCTCCTTAAAGTAGTTTTGTGGCACTTTAATGTTGTTTTGTATCTCTTTACGGTCATTTTCCATCTCTTTGTAGTAGTTTTGTGTCTCTTTAATGTTGTTTTGCATTTCTATGTGGTCATTTTGTGTCTCTTTGTTGTGGTTTTCCACCTCTTTGACATATTTTTGCATCTCCTTATAGGGATAGTGCACCCAAAAATGAAAATTCAGCCATTATCTACTCACCCTCATGCTGAGGAACGCTCTGGTTAAGTTCATATGACGTTTTTCCAAACAACTTTTTATGTCGGGGCTGCAGCACACTTGGATCACTACGGTAAGCATGTTGGAGATATTTTGTGGTTTCAATTTTGTGTAGTTGGATGTTAGTCTGGGGCGCCGTGTGCCATTAGGTGTATCTCTTTGTAGTAGTTTTGTGTTTCTTTGTTGTTGTCTTGCATCTCTTTGTGGGTGTTTTGTGTCTCCTTTTTATGGATCTGCATCTCTCTGTGGTCATATTGTGTCTCTGCAGTAGTTTTGTGTCTCTTTTTTTGTGGTTTTCCACCTCTTTGGAGGTATTTTTGCATCTCCTTAAAGTAGTTTTGTGGCACTTTAATGTTGTTTTGCATCTCTTTGCAGTCATTTTGCATCTCTTTGTAGTAGTTTCATGTGTCTTTGTTGTTGTCTTGCATCTCTTTGTAGTAGTTTTGTGTCTCTTTAATGTTGTTTTGCATCTCTTTGTGGTCATCTTGCATCTCTTTGTAGTAATTTTATGTTTCTTTGTTGTTGTCTTGCATCTCTTTGTAGGTGTTCTGTGTCTCTTTTTTATGGACTTGCATCTCTTTGCAGTAGTTTTGCATCTCTTTTTTGTTGTCGTTTTGCGTTCCTTTGGGGTTGTTTTGCATCTCTGTAGTTTTTTTGCGTGTGGTCCAGGGGTGGGGGAAATTATCATTTCTTGGATGCATAACGATGCGGATGTGGACAATTTGGAATCAATTCACATAAATCAATAATTAATTATCTAAATATTTGTTAAAAACGTGATGTTGACAGTGCAAAAGAGGCAAAATTCACCCGCAAGGGCAGCACAGCACAGACACTAGTTAACTTATAAGTCATCTTTACAAAAGGCAGCTGCTGCAAACATGTTTTCATTTAATTTGTCTGAATAATTGCATTGGTGAGGCAAACATATAATATATTATAAAAACTCACTCTGCCCCTGATTTTGTCATTCTCATACAAGGAGGAAACTGTACGACATAAATATCTCACAATGGGTTACCATGGGCAACCTCAGTTTGGTACAATCTGACTGCCTCCCCTAGTGTCTTTGTGGTTGTCCTGTGTCTCTCTGTAGTTGTTTTGCATCTCTGTCTGTGTGTTTGTATCTGTTTGTTGTTGTGTGATTTACTTTCCAACAAGAAATGTTAACAGTCGTTTCAAACAGACGCTCTGATCCCATGGGTCTCATGACCTTGCTGGGCCTCTGGGCCCGTGTCCAGTAGGTCTGTTCAGTAATCCATCCGTGAGGACAACACAACATTTGGAAGTGATGAAAAGTCTCTGAAGTGCAGAGCTACTTCCCTCCACTGTAACTGTAGCCTAAGCATGAAATTATTTCAGGTGGTTGGGTAATTTGCCAAGGTTGCGAGCATGGTTCCAGCAGAAACTGCCCATGTTATCACATGATAATTCATCATGATCTCTCATAGCGGCTGGCTGCCTTGCATCTTGTCAGCAGGTTTTAAAGAGCTCAACAGGATCCAAAGACGCCTGCTGAGAGAGGAGAGACAGTCAGAGAGGTTTCACGCCGCTGCTGCTGCTCCACTGAATGACACCAAAATGTGCAGGAAATCTCAATTTATATCACCTCAGGCAAGATTACTGTTTAAACTTGTTTACTGTTTTCAGTACACTATGAAGGGAACTCTCTCATTGCACCGATAAGCTGACATTTTCTTTTCAAACACAGCAGAGTCTCTGTGTCTCATTTCTACAGCGTAAACTTCAAAAGGCTTCAAAATGTTCTGTTGTCATCGTGGAAAAACGATGATGAGTTTCAGAGCCTTAATGCTACTAACAGACTGCAAAACAACTGTGGATGACTCATAACTTAATCACAGCCTTTAATATCCTGTACCTTTTATCCACTAAATAGTAGCCTTGGGATAAACCCTTTCAAATTAAAAGCATTCCCCTGTAATTCCCCGAAATGACACTTGATCCTCTCTAATGCTCTTTATTACTTTCATAAACTGTCTTGTTTGAGATTTTAATTGTAGTTTTCTCTGTGACACATCCTCTGGGAGCTGATTGTGAACAAATTAAATCATTTCAGTTGTGTATGTGACAGTTTTTGATTTGTGTACTTTCCAAGGGACAAAATTAAAGGGTGCATTTAAAGAAAGAGGCAGAAAAATAAGAGAGGGGAGTAAATTAAGAAGAAAAATAAATTGAAAATTTACTGGTGTGTTTGTGCGGTGACAAGTTAATAACTTTGAATAAACAGTATTACAATCGAAACAACAGTAAACCTGTCACTTCAGGTTTAAGTGACAAAATGAAAGAGACAGAGAGAAATTAGTTTCTTCTTTTTGTGTTGAAACAATTCAGATGTAATCAACAACATTTTTGTAACTGTAGATAGATGTTTTGTATTGTAACGTAAGTCTGACAACATCACATGTTTCACATCATCATTGTTCAGTTGTGTTTAACACTTGACTGGAGGAAACGACCTCCTCAGACCTGTCACCACAGAGACAGACAAGGAACATACTGTCTCTTCCTTTCTGCTCATCTGACATAAAAACTGTGTGTGTGTGTGTGTGTGTGTGTGTGTGTGTGTGTGTGTGTGTGTTTTGTCCAGAGGAAACTTGGGTGTTGACACAAGTTTTTAAATAAATCCCTGAAGGAAACCCATCGTTCGTTTCCTCTGTCTGTCGGTTTGATTTAAACACAAAGCCACACTCTACTGAACATTTTTCACAAAAACACTTATGTTAATACACACACACACACACACACACACACACGCAAACCTGAGATACACAAACACATCCGAGGCATCCTCACACATGTGCACACACACTCTCACAACAATACATTGTGGCAAAAGCAACCGGATGAGGACATCATGTCAACTTT